CTAAAATTATTATTATTATTATTATTATTATTATTATTATTATTATTATTATTATTATTATTATTATTATTATTACCACAACTACGGGACACGGTATTGTTTTTGGTTCTGTCTGTCTGTCTGTCTGTGTCTGTCTGTGTCTGTCTGTCTGTTCCTCCCCCAAATAAGTCGTGAACTAGTTTGCGGATTTGCACCAAACTTGGCAGGTTTGAGCAATACATGACAAGGTCGACTTGATAAACTTTTGCTGCAAATTACGCCAAAGTTGCTTCCACTTAAAATGTCCTCAAGTAATTTACTGAAACTACGAGTAACTAAGAATATAAAAAAGCGGTTAAGATTTAATAAAAAAGAACCATGGAACAATATATTTTTGATTATATAGGGAGATATAGAACAAAAAAAATTAAATACTTTGTAGAGTTTCTATAGGAAATTAATATTTTAGTTTAGATTACTTTGACTTTTCGATCTCACTTATGAAAGTAAAAGTTCGTGAGATACACTGTTGTTTATTTCTTGTTCACGTGACTAAAACCCGCCAACCAGAGGACGTCATGATGTCAGGTGATCCAGCTGCGAGTGCACCTTCAAGCTTTTGTATTTCAGTTGGTCAGTTGTATGATGGCTTTTCTGTTTGTTAAGGATGCTTTTTCTCAGAATTAGGCTTAGGTTAGGTTAGGTTAGGTTAGGTTAGGTTAGGTTAGCTCAGTTTTTTGCGTGTGTTTAACCTATAATTCCCCTCGTCTTCAAAGCCCTGCCTACTCTATGTGATCATTTCCACCATTGTTATCACAGGTAGTAAGGCAGCTATCAAACAGAGAGGAGGTCCTGTACCGTCTCATTTACACATAATTAACAGGGTATCAATTTATTCTTTTACTCTGACACAACACAACAGATAATATAAATCATTTCTCACTCTTCAGCGGTTTTATTTTATTTTTTTCCATTTCTGTAGTTATTTATGGTTCAATCTTTTTCTCCCGTCCCCCAGGCCTCGATGTGGTTCGGTGACCTGTGCCTGGGTGGGCTAATCCCGTAAAAAAAATATAAAAGAAAACGCTATAAAAAGTACTTGATATTTATTTATTATCACCAATATTATTTGATTTCCTCATATTTATTATTATTATTATTATTATTATTATTAGTAAACCTTTGAGGAATAGTGTCGCCCTTATGTAATTCATTCTGACTAACGCTATGATGATTTTATTTAACCCCTTTCACTCAATGGGTTAAAACCGACGTCGATTAATACTCCAAGGAAAAATATACGAGAACCAGAATTCTATTGCATTATACTAGCGAAGGTTAGTAGTCCGTTTTGGAGGCACACATAGCCCTAAATCTCTCCCTTCCCCCCCCCCCTCCACACACACACACACACACACACACACACACACACATAAATTGCAGGGTTAAAAAGCAGTGTGGAAATTCTTTTTCATATTGGGGAATCTAACTTTATTTCTCTCGACCACGGAAAGGCTTAGTTTGCTTCGTCTGTCTGTGTGTGTCTGTGTGTCTGTCTGTCTGTCTGTCTGTCTGTCTGTTCATTTTAGATTTTATTTTATCAACGGATCACTTTGTGTTTTCCCTCTTCTGTATTTGTGTTTGAAAATGAATGTATGTATGTATGTATGTATGTATGTATGCTTAATAACTACTGTATGTATGTATGTATATGCATGCATGCATGTATATGTATGTATGTATGCATGTATCATGTATGTATGTATGTATGTATGTATGTATGTATGTATGTATGTATGTATGTATGTATGTATGTATGTATGTATGTATGTATGTATGTATAGTGGCATCAGTCGACAACAAGTGACAGTTAATGAACGTTAGGAAATCAGGAATACGTTTTCCATTTACTTACACTCTCTCTCTCTCTCTCTCTCTCTCTCTCTCTCTCTCTCTCTCTCTCTCAAACACACACTCTCTCTCTCTCTCTTACTGTGTGTGTGTGGACCCATCAACACACCCGGAAGTAAACCCAGTAGCACCAGAGTGAACCCAGTAGCACCAGAGTGAACCCAGTAGCACCCAGGAGTGAACCCAGCAGCACAGAGTGAACCCATCAGCACCCAGAGTAAGCCAGTAGCACCGGAACCCAGTAGCACCAAGAGTGAACCCAGTAGCACCAGGTGGTGTAGCACCAAAGTGGAGCAACAACACCCCAGAGTGAACCCAGCACCAGAGTAAACCCAGTAGCACCCAGAGTGAACCCAGCAGCACCAGAGTAAACCCAGTAGCACCCAGAGTGAACAGTAGCACCAAGTGAACAGCAGCACCAGAGTGAACCAACAGCACCAGTGGTTAGCAGCACCAAGTGAACCCAGTAGCACCAGAAAACAGTAACACCAGAGTAAACCCAGCAACACCAAGTGAACCCAGCAGCACCCAGAGTAAACCAATAGCACCAGGAGAAATTGAACCAGTAGCACCAAGAGTGAACAGCAGCACCCAGAGTAAACCCAGTAACCAGAGTGAACTCAGTAGCACCCGAATGAAACCAAGCAGCACCCAGAGTGAACAGTAGCACCAGAGAAAACCAGTAGCACCAAGAGTGAACTCAGTAGCACCCGAATAAACAGTAGCACCAGAGTAAACCCAGTAGCACCCAGAGTAAACCCAGTAGCACCCAAGGTAAACCCAGTAGCACCCAAGGTAAACCCAGTACCAAGTGAACAACAGCACCAGAGTAAACCCAGTAGCACCAGAGTGAACCCAATGGCACCAAGTGAACCTTGATAGCACCAAGAGTAAACCAAGTAGCACAAGTGAACAGTAGCACAGAGTAAACCCAGCAGCACCCAAGAGTAAACCAGTAGCACCAAGTGAACAGTAGCACCAAGTGAACAGTAGCACAGAGTAAACCAGTAGCACCAAGAGTAAACAGTAGCACCAGAGTAAGCCAGTAACACAGGAGTAAGCCAGTAGCACTTAGAGTGCAGAGTGAACTCAGTAGCACCCAGAGTAAACCCAGCAGCACCCAGAGTGAACCCAGTAGCACCCGGAGTAAACCCAGTAGCATCAAGTGAACCCAAGTAATGGCGCCGAAAGTTACACACCCACAAGATTCAAAGAAACCCAACATGACCCGAATTTGAACCCAGTAGAACCCAAAAAGACAATAACAATACGTTCAAACAGATAACAGAACCCAACAGATACCCAGCTGAGTTTTAGTACCCATACCCTACAAAAACAGAACGAAACCGAACCCAGAAAAAACCGAACCCCATCACAAGCACGAAACGGGTTCAAGTATTCAACAGAGTCATTACAGTTAAGTAAAATAACTATTGAAATGCCTCCTTTATAAATGAAGTAATCGCCAGTAAAGTAAGACCCAAATCGAACCCGCGAGAACCCAATGAAATCAAGCAAGCAGACCCCAAGCAGCCATTAGCTTGTGTTGTGTTGGTCGTGGTGGGTGAAGGGAGGCGGGGGGGGTGGCTGTGGGCTCCCAACACCTGCTACCCTCTGAGCTTGCTGCTGCCCTGGGTCGATACTGTGTGTGTACCTCCCTCCAACACAACCACCCAACACTCTCCCCCTCCACGCCCACGCCCGCCCGTCCTCCTGTTCGTTCGTTCGTTCGCCCGCCCGCCAGCCCGCCCGCCGCCACCACCACGCTGCTGGCACGTGAGGGGGAGGAGAGAATGGGGAGGGGCCGGGGTGTAGAGATTGGTGCGTGGGCGGCAGATCGCTAGTGTGTGTAGGTGGGGCGTGTGTGTGTGTGGGGGTTTTAAGTTCTTCTTTCTCTCACTTTCCCTTTTATTGCCATTTTTTTCCTTCTCGGCTTTACTCGTGTTTCTTACAAGGCTTCGAGTACCTGTTCAAACTTAATTAAATTTAAGGTGAAATATGAGAAACTTTTGAAGGTGTTGAGCTGTTGTGATGGCTGACACTATGTACCTCCAGTGATGGCTAACACTATGTCCCCCCACAGTGATGGCTGACACTATGTCCCCCCACAGTGATGGCTGACACTATGTACCTCCAGTGATGGCTGACACTATGTACCTCCAGTGATGGCTGACACTATGTACCTCCAGTGATGGCTGACACTATGTACCTCCAGTGATGGCTGACACTATGTACCTCCAGTGATGGCTGACACTATGTACCTCCAGTGATGGCTGACACTATGTACTCCAGTGATGGCTGACACTATGTCCCCCCACAGTGATGGCTGACACTATGTCCCCCCACAGTGATGGCTGACACTATGTACCTCAGTGATGGCTGACACTATGTCCCCCCACAGTGATGGCTGGCACTATGTCCCCCACAGTGATGGCTGACACTATGTCCTCCAGTGATGGCTGACACTATGTACCTCCAGTGATGGCTGACACTATGTACCTCAGTGATGGCTGACACTATGTACCTCAGTGATGCTGACACTATGTACCTCCAGTGATGGCTGACACTATGTACCCAGTGATGGCTGACACTATGTACCTCCAGTGATGGCTGACTGTACACTCCAGTGATGGCTGACCTCCACAGTGATGGCTGACACTATGTACCTCCAGTGATGGCTGACACTATGTCCCCACAGTGATGGCTGACACTATGTCCCCCACAGTGATGGCTGACTATGTACTAGTGATGGCTGACACTCCACAGTGATGGCTGACACTGTCCCCCCACAGTGATGGCTGACACTATGTACCTCCAGTGATGGCTGACACTATGTCCCCACAGTGATGGCTGACACTATGTACCTCCAGTGATGGCTAGTGATGGCTGACACTATGTCCCCCCACAGTGATGGCTGACACTATGTACCTCCAGTGATGGCTGACTATGTCCCCCACAGTGATGGCTGACACTATGTACCTCAGTGATGGCTGACACTATGTACCCCCACAGTGATGGCTGACACTATGTACCTCCAGTGATGGCTGACACTATGTCCCCCCACAGTGATGGCTGATACTACTACTATTACTACTACTATTATTTTGCTATCACTCTGAATCAATCATGACTATCATCCAGCTATGATACAATGATATGAGTTATTAAGGATGTCACCTTCGTTGGTGAGCTGAGGTGACTAGAGAGGCCGATACGGGACCGGCAGGGTCATCCACATATGTTGCACGTGTGGAGGGCTACATCCAGGGCGGGAGGGACGGCGGCAGCGTCTTTCCGACGTTGGCGCTTGTCTGCCTCGGTATGCAGTCGGGCTAACTTGAGGAGTATTGACACTTTCTCGTGTGGTGATCCTCCAAGCGTTGCGGTGTGGAGTGATCGTCTTCCGGGTGAGGAGGATAATTTGGCACTTTTTCAGGTTTGTCTTAGACTATCCTTATACCTTTTCCGTTCCCCGCCAGCGTTGCGTTTACTATTCGTTCGGTGACTAAAGTAGCTGCTTTGGCAGTCTACTGTCGTCCATGCGAGTAACATGGCTAGCGCAACGTAATTGTTCATGGATAATGGTAGCCTCGTTGCTCCTACATTTGGTGTCAGCGAGAGTACTGGCATTTGTTCTCTTGTCTTCCCAGCAAGCTCGGAGGATGGAACGTCGACTACTTTGGTGAAAGTTTTCAAGTGCCTTGAGGTGCCTCCTGTCTGTAACCCATGTCTCGCTGCCATATAGCATGGTGGAGAGGACCACTGCTCGATATACATGGAATTTTGTAGATAATTTCAGCTCCCTACGGCTGAATACACGGGTACAGAGTCTGCCAAAGGCTTGAGATGCAAAACTGATCCGATGTTGAATCTCTTCATCGATGTACGCAGTGGTGGACAGGCGGGAGCCGAGATACTGAAAGTGGGTAACATTAGTGAGGGTAGTACCGTTATGTGTTCAGGATCTGTTCAGTGTTAGAAGTTCAGTAATGGAAGCTCCCGACACCTTTGTTCCTGTCTGGAGTCGTCTTATGTTGAAAAGACCCTTCATCCGGTACTGGATATCCACCCCGCCGGCTAGATTGGAACTGGCACGAGTAAGGAAGGCAAGAAAATGGAAGAGAGAGTTGGTGCCAGTACACATCTTTATTTTACCCCCGTTTGGATGGTGAACAACTCAGACTGGGTGCCACTGTGCAGGACACTGCTATTTATGCCATTGTGGAGTTGCCTCACAAAGGCAATGGATTTTGGTGGGCAGCCAAAATGACTGAGGGTCCGTCAGAGGGCTTCCCTGTTAACCGACTAGAAGGCCTTGGTTAGGTCGATGAAGGCCATATACAGGTCACTACACTGTTCTCTGCACTTTTCCTGTATCTGGCGGACAGCAAAGATCATGTCAGTGGTCCCATGTGATGGTCTAAATTTTAGTCCATCACAGAGTGTGTCCCCCCAGTGATGGTTGACACAATGTCTCCCAGTGATGGTTGACACTATGTCTCCCAGTGATGGCTGACACTATGTCCCCCCAGTGATGGCTGACACTATGTCTCCCAGTGATGGTTGACACTATGTCTCCCAGTGATGGCTGACACTATGTCTCCCAGTGATGGTTGACACTGTCTCCAGTGATGGCTGACACTATGTCTCCCAGTGATGGCTGACACTATGTTAGTGATGGCTGACACTATGTCTCCCAGTGATGGTTGACACTATGTCTCCCAGTGATGGTTGACACTATGTCTCCCAGTGATGGTTGACACTATGTCTCCAGTGATGGCTGACACTATGTCTCCCAGTGATGGTTGACACTATGTCTCCCAGTGATGGCTGACACTATGTCTCCCAGTGATGGCTGACACTATGTCTCCCAGTGATGGCTGACTATGTCTCCCAGTGATGGCTGAACTATGTCTCCCAGTGATGGCTGACACTATGTCTCCCAGTGATGGTTGACACTATGTCCCAGTGATGGTTGACACTATGTCTCCCAGTGATGGTTGACACTATGTCTCCCAGTGATGGCTGACACTATGTCTCCCAGTGATGGCTGACACTATGTTCCCAGTGATGGCTGACACTATGTCTCCCAGTGATGGTTGACACTATGTCTCCCAGTGATGGTTGACACTATGTCTCCAGTGATGGTTGACACTTGTCTCCAGTGATGGCTGACACTGTCTCCCAGTGATGGTTCATATTCTCCCAGTGATGGTTGACCTATGTCTCCCAGTGATGGTTGACACTATGTCTCCCAGTGATGGCTGACTGCCCAGTGATGGCTGACTATGTCTCCCAGTGATGGCTGACACTATGTCTCCCAGTGATGGTTGACTATGTCTCCCAGTGATGGTTGACACTATGTCTCCCAGTGATGGTTGACACTATGTCTCCAGTGATGGCTGACACTATGTCTCCCAGTGATGGCTGACACTATGTCCCCCCAGTGATGGCTGACACTATGTCTCCCAGTGATGGTTGACACTATGTCTCCCAGTGATGGCTGACACTATGTCTCCCAGAGAGACATAATGTACATTTCACTGGACTAACTTTGACTCTTTATGTCGCTAATACAGTGAGCGACTTATACTGTAGAAATGTGTTTGTTTTTCATCGTTTGTCACCGTTATCTGTCTTGAATCGTCGCCGCCTTTATCGTCGTCCTCTTCATCGTCGTCATCGTCCTCGTCCTCTTCATCGTCGTCGTCGTCGTCCTCTTCATCGTCATCATCATCATCGTTGTCATCGTCGTCGTCGTCTTCATCATCGTCGTCGTCCTCTTCATCGTCATCATCATCATCGTTGTCGTCCTCGTCCTCTTCATCGCGCTTGTCCTCGTCCTCTTCATCGTCGCGCTTGTCCTCGTCGTCCTCTTCATCATCGTCGTCGTCCCCTTCATCGTCTTCATCATCATCGTTGTCATCGTCGTCCTCTTCATCAACGCCATCTTCCTCGTCATCGTCGCCATCGTCCTCTTCATCACCGTCGTTGTCCTCGTCATCGTCGCCATCGTCCTCTTCATCACCGTCGTTGTCCTCGTCATCGTCGCCATCGTCCTCTTCATCACCGTCGTTGTCCTCGTCATCGTCGCCATCGTCCTCTTCATCATCGTCGTTGTCCTCGTCATCGTCGCCATCGTCCTCTTCATCACCGTGTCCTCGTCATCGTCGCCATCGTCCTCATCATCGTCGTCGTCCTCTTCATCGTCGCCGTCGTCCTCTTCATCACCGTCGTTGTCCTCGTCATCGTTCCCTTACACGACACTAAGGACAGACGGCTGGTAAATGACGCTCTCTATTGATCCTGGGTCAAAGGTCACACATAGGCCAAGGTCGCGTGTGGTATTAGTGCTGTAGTGAGTGAGTCTGTTGCTAAGGCTAGGTCAGGTCAGGTCAGGTCAGGTTTGTGAATTATAGAATTATGTTGTTAAGGCATAAGTTCCATATATATTAGTCTAGGGTTATTACTATTATAGGGACACACACACACACACACACACACACACACACACACACACACACACCAATTCCCAAATTATATCACTATAATTTCACGCTTCTGATTGCCATGTCCTCTCAATAAACCGTTAATTATTATTTGTATTATTATTACACACAAACAGTGGACAAGGGTGTGGTAATCACAACTCCGGTAACTGAATTACTTAAAAAAAAATCAACTTCGGTAATATTGTCAGCAAACGTAACTAGGTAGAGTCTCAACGTAATTCTTGTGCCACTTTGGGAGTCAGGGAGTAAGCTAGGGAATAAGATCCAATGGTTACTAGGAACTTTAGTTACTAGGAGATATCTAGGTTTTGGTTACTAGGAGATATCTAGGTTTTGATTACTAGGAGATATCTAGGTTTTGGTTACTAGGAGATATCTAGGTTTTGATTACTAGGAGATATCTAAGTTTTGATTACTAGGAGATATCTAGGTTTTGATTACTAGGAGATATCTAAGTTTTGATTACTAGGAGATATCTAGGCTTTGGTTACTAGGAGATATCTGGGTTTTGGTTACTAGGAGATATCTGGTTTGTTACTAGGAGATATCTATTTTCGGAATCCGTGAGAATTCGAAACGTGAGCTGATAAAAAAATTGGATGATCTTATTCCCGTTGGTGACTTGGTTAACTTAACTTGGTGTGGAAGGAGGAGCTTCCCACCTCACACCTGACGACCAACAACAATTCTTGGAGTGTGTCGTGTCGTGTCGTATGTCTCGTGTCGTGTCGTGTGTCGTGTCGAATGTCTCGTGTCGTGTCGTGTGTCGTGTCGTGTCGTGTGTTGTGTCGAATGAAAATATTAATATAGGGTCATTTCATACGAGAATTCCAAAACAGATAAACCTCACGAGATGAAAATAAGAGGGCGAAATTTTCCACACATAAACGTATCCTCTTAATATTTACGTAAACAAAGGCAAATGGTATCTCATGTTCGAGGGTAAAAGAGTGTAGCGATAATTCAGAGTGTGACGTGAACAGAATTCGTGAATTGAAAAAAAAGATGAAAAATAGAAAGAACTTAAAGAGAATATTGTGACGTAGAGGAAGAAGTGATGATGAAGATAAGATTGGAGATAGATGAGAAGTGAGCCGTGGATGAGGATGAAGGCGTGGTGGGGATGGGGCGTGGGTGTGGATGAAGTGGTGTGGGGACGATGTTTTAGCTCGTCCTCACCATGGGATTTAAATATATAATAAACGTAATTGAAAACGTAAATTATGTAGAATACTTTGAATGATTTACTGAAATATGATGAAAAGAAATGAATCAAATTAAAAAGATTGGAAATATACTAAAACTGATGAAGAAATGACTCAACATAATATCACGATTTCACACCACATACAACAACATACACGGTGAGAGCATCATGTGTGTGTGTGTGTGTGTGTGTGTGTGTGTGTGTGTGTTAGAATAAGACACACACCGAAGAAGGAGGTCATCACGCGACTTCTAAATCAAACGTTGGAGCATTGATATAATCTACTGAGGTACTGAACTAGACACGCAGCCTTGTACTACACCTGTTGATGATGAGTATAAACACTAACTCATGTCAGTATCCTTAAAACAGCAGTCATCATGAGTGGAAGTTAGCTGTAGGGAAGGCAGCCATCATTAGTGGGTGTTTCATGTTCCTTGCTTTCCATTTTTACCCACGTGGCGGAATAGGGAATCTTTGCCCCGATTCAGGGTTAAATTATAAGGAAGAAGATTAGTGGTGTAGGTTTGTTGATATTTTCCTTTACAACGTCATCTTTCGTGCGTAAGGCAGACATTAGTTCTAGTTGTTGGTGTATAGGGAAGTCTTCACCAGGGCTAAAGATATATGCTTCTCCTTCCCTCCCATCCTCAGCACGCACGACTTTTGAAATATTCATAGCAGAGGCGCTCAGGTTCAAGGTCGACCTACTAAAGTTTCTCTGACTTACTTATGGCCAAGAACTGAACCTCAAGGCTATGTTAAAGACCATCTATTATCACGTGTTGTCCCTTTAAGGAGGATAACAGTGTGGCTTCCTGTACCCAACCTGCTGCGACTCTCTTATCACATAAACAATATAATTTTTTCTCCACGTAAATACCAGAAATATTTAGACGGCTGAGTCATATGACATTTAAGAACTCCAGGAAGACCTAACTCAACTCTTCAATGAAACTAGCTACGTGGATCAATGTGACCTTCTACCAGTGGCTGACAACACCTCTGAAACAACATTCCTGGACCACCTGACATGATTCAACCTCACTCCTCTTCTATTTTGCTTTATTATCGATTTTGTCCGTTCTGGTGTTTGACGGGATAGTTGGCTGCCTGACACTCCGGCCAATTATATGAACGAAAAAGAGAGTGTGAATCAATATACATAATTTATGGCTGTGTGTGTGTGTGTGTGTGTGTATGTATGTGTGTGTGTGTGTGTGTGTGTGTGTGTGTGTGTGTGTGTGTGTGTGTGTGTGTGTGTGTTTTAATCTTTTTATTATTACTGCTTAAACACATAAAAACTAACATGATTACTGTTCTTCATTCTGTCCCTCTCTCCTTTATAACACCTGCCTCACCTGCAACACCTTTACACACCTGTCTTACCATTCACCTCTTTCATAGAACATGAAGACTCATGGTCGATCGTCTGACTGAATAACAAATTAGATATCAATGGTAAATATTCTTGTTTTTTGTACCTCTGGGATATATCATCATTATCATTATTATTAACATCATTATCGTCATTGTTATTATTAGTAGTTACGTTTTTATATATTTCATTGGAATAGAATAACAGTGTGTTGAGTCATTCGTGTTCCAGCAGTGAAGAAGTCATGGAGGTGATTACTCTGACTCCAACAAGGTCTTGAAGGATCCAGTTATCAGTTGGGCTCCCAGCGACACGTCAGGATTCAGGGATTTAGCGGTATGAAGCAACCAACCCATAATGATCTTGTGCTAGCGGTGTCTTGTTTTTGCCTCAGTATCCAGCGACCCACCATGTTCCAGAGATCCACCGTGTTCCAGCGACCCACCATGTTCCAGCGACCCACCATGTTCCCCGTGTTCCAGCGACCCACCATGTTCCAGCGAATCCACCATGTTCCAGCGACCCACCATGTTCCAGCGACCCACCATGTTTGCTGAGATCCACCGTGTTCCAGCGACCCACCATGTTCCAGCGACCCACCATGTTCCAGCGACCCACCATGTTCCAGCGACCCACTGGTATCTGGCGATCAATCTAGTGACCACCACAAAACTTCTGCACCTTTCCGATATAAACTTCTGAGCTGGACGTGAGTCAGCGTTCCAAATGCAATGTAAAAATTATACATTTTTCTTCTTTCTGCCATATTTTGCCCCGATAACTCTGGCTTGTGAGGAACATCACCATAAGTTCCTTCATGGTGGTCTTTACCACGCTCACCGCACAGCACACACACACACACACACACCAACGTTAAGAGGAAGGGATGTGCTAAGGTACGGGTGTTATCTCTAATGGGTTGTGGTTGGTGGTATAATTATAATCCTGGACCTAAGTATAATTATTCCATTAACTATTCTCGAATGTTTTAATATTTCAACATAAGACTTAAAACAACATTGAATCATCCGTTGTGACGTCACCACACTGTACATCTGCTCCAAGTGTTCCATTACGTAACCTCACGCCAACTACTTCACGTTCTCGCGTATCATATACTGACAACACTCCACTTAGAACAAAAGCCTTCAGTGACTGCCTGGTATTCCAGTGTGTGTCAAGACCTTCCAGCACAGGACCTGACCAATTCCTTCTGGTTAACCGTCTTCAGCGAGACTTCCTCTTGACCAGTGTACGGAGGAAGGACCAGGCAGGCAGGCAGGTTGGTTGGTTCCCGCGGGAGGAAGGACAAATGGCCGCTCGTATTTCCTGCACAACGCACTAAAAATAAGAATCGTTCCTGTGGGAGGTGGACAGGAGTTTTCTATATTCAGAGGTTTCCACCAGGAGTCACTTTACTTCGTTTCTAGGCAGGTAAAGGTGCGTAAATGGACACAGGGCAGGGAGGTGGTGTGTCAGATATGTTACCGGGTGGAGGAGAGGTGGAGGTGGAAGAGATACTAAATCGTACTTGACTATATTTTTAGTAACGGCAAAAGTAACTATGTTTAACCTCGAACCAAATCAGCACAGTTTACCACATTCCACACAAGCATGAGGGAAAAAAAAAAATAAAATCATTCAACTGTTTGCGATGCGTGTTAGAACCCACACACACACACGCACACACACACACACACTCAAAATTCATATAGATAAGAGAAATAGCCAAGGATTGACAGATAGCCCTTCTCCTTCACACCTGACCTCGCACCCTATAATCAACGTGGGGGGGGTCAGGTGGTGTAGCCATGGTGGCCTCCATGGTGTAACTGACCTGGGAAGTGTTGTGATCATCGGGTCTTGCCAACTCACCTCATACTATCCCCACCTGCCCACCTCCCCACCATCCCCACCTGCCCACCACCCTACACTATCCTCACCTGCCCACCACCCTACACTATCCCTCACCTGCCCACCACCCACACCATCCCACCTGCCCACCACCCCACACCATCCCCACCTGCCCACCACCCCACACCATCCCCACCTGCCCACCACCCCACACCATCCCTCACCTGCCCACCCACCCTACACTATCCCTCACCTGCCCACTAGCCCACACTATCCCCACCTGCCCACCACTCCCTACACACTATCCTCACCTGCCCACACCTATCCCCACCTGCCCACCAGCCCACACCCACCCCCACTCCGCCCATTAGCCCACACCACCCCCACCTGCCCACTAGCCCACACCACCCCTCACCTGCCCACACCACCACCTGCCCACTAGCCCACACCACCCCCCACCTGCCCACACCATCCCTCACCAGCCCACTAGCCCACACCACCCCACCTGCCCACACTATCCTCACCCACCACTCACCCACACCATCCTCACCTGCCCACACCATCCTCACCTGCCCACACCCACCCCACCTGCCCACTAGCCCACACCACCCTCACCTGCCCATACCACAAGGATTTTGGTGCTACAGCTTAAACAAGATACACTTTAGCATGCAGCATCGAGGAGGCTACCCTTTAAACACCTGAACCACCACACCTGACCCACCACACCTGACCCACCACACCTGACCCACCAAACCTGACCCACCAAACATGACCCACAAACATGACCAAACCTGACCTGCCAAACCTGACCCACCAAACCTGACCCACCAAACCTGACCCACCAAACCTGACCCACCACACCTGACCTGCCACACCTGACCCACCAAACCTGACCCACCAAACCTGACCCACCAACCTGCCGCAAACCTGACCACACCTGACCCACCACACCTGACCTACCACACCTGTCCTCCTGATTTTAAGACAGACTTTAAAGAAGAGATACTTAAATGATAAGAGAATAAGATAAAAGAGAATAAGAGATAAGAGCTATAAAGAGACGAGATATTTAGAGATACAAGAGGTAAGGCGAGAGATGAGACACTTGGAGACAGTAAATTGAGAGAGACAACCCACAGAGAGAATCGAATTTGGGATAATGAGATTTTGAATCGAGAGATTTGAGAGACAGACAGACAGACAGACAGACAAACAGAGCCAAGAGGAAAATGGCCTCTCTCTCAACTGTGTCAATATTGCAATGGTCGTCTCATATCTTGGCAGAGTGGGGTGACCTTCTTCGATGACCCTTGACCTCTGACCTCTCTGACCTCTGACCTTTGAGCTCTCTGACCTTTGACCCTTGACGTTTGACCTCTGACGTTTCCCTGATGTAGGTAAAATGTGTGTGTGTATATTAAATCGAAGGATGCTACTGTGTGGACGAGTAAATATATACGTACATACATACACATTCAGGCAAAGATAAACACAGACAGACAGAGACAGACAGACAGAGACAGACAGACAGAGACAGACAGACAGAAATCGCAGACAGACAGACAAACACAGACAGACAAACTGAACCCTGTGTGTGTGTGTGTGTCAGAGGTCATCATTCCTAAAACACACACACACACACACACACACACACACACACACACACACACACACACACACACGTTTCTCTATAATTAGTGGAACCAATTACCTAAATGGTTTAACTCCTTCAATTATTCCCCCTTTAATGATTTTACTGTCATTATTTATTGATTTTTTTTAATTGGAATCTGATAATATTTATATTTCCATTGTCATTTTAATAAATAAACAAATGAAGAAAAACTCGAAATTAAATCATTGGATCAAATTTATTCACTGAGGCATCAACACCTGACCAAACCCCTATGCTATATGCTACAGGATGGCTAGAACTGTAGAAGGTGATCTGTAGATGATAAAACACACTGTAGCAGGTATAATTCTACAGTGTTATTCGGGAGAGTAGAGGAGTTCTGGTAGGTTAGGTTAGGTTAAGTTAGGTAATTATTGATGGAGTAAATGAGGTGAAAAACAATTAATTAATTCATTCATTCAGACAGAAATTCATTCATTCATTCACAGTCATTCATTCATTCATCATTCATTCATTCACTCACAGTCATTCATTCATTCATTCATTCACAGTCATTCATTCATTCATTCATTCATTCATTCATTCACATTCATTCATTCATTCATTTATTCATTCACAGTCATTCATTCATTCATTCATTCATTCATTCATTCACAGTCATTCATTCATTCATTCATTCATTCATTCATTCATTCATTCACAGTCATTCATTCATTCATTCATTCAGTCATTCATTCATTCATTAATTCATTCATTCATTCAGACAGTCATTCATTCATTCATTCATGCATTCACAGTCATTCATTCATTCATTCATTCATTCATTCACAGTCATTCATTCATTCATTCACAGTCATTCATTCATTCATTCATTCATTCATTCATTCATTCACAGTCATTCATTCATCTATCTGCTCATTCCACAGCCATCGGCCCATTCATTCATTCATTCATTCATTCAAGTGTCATATCATTCATTCTATAGCCATTCATCATCATTCATTCACAGTCAATATTCATTCATTCATTCTGGCCCATTCATTCATTCACAGTCATTCATTCATTTCATTCATTCACAGTCATTCATTCATTCATTCATTCACAGTCATTCATTCATTCACAGTCATTCATTCATTCATTCATTCATTCACAGTCATTCATTCATTCATTCATTCATTCACAGTCATTCATTCATTCATTCATTCACAGTCATTCATTCATTCACAGTCATTCATTCATTCATTCATTCATTCATTCATTCACAGTCATTCATTCATTCACAGTCATTCATTCATTCATTCATTCATTCACAGTCATTCATAGTCATTCATTCATTCATTCATTCATTCATTCATTCATACTATTAAATATCTGCTACATCATACAACATTAATAGCTGTATTTTCATCACTAACATCAACTTTGACTGTGTGTGTGTGTGTGTGCGTGTGTGTGTGTGTGTGCGTGCGTGCGTGTGTCCTGATTTACATATATAATTAGAGATGGAAATTGGCTCAGATCTCAAGTCAAACTTTCGTCGTTGGATTAAACCTGAGGCACATATTGTGTTATGTCTGTTGGTTAGGTTAGGTTTTGGTTGTGGTTAGGTTAGGTTAGGTTAGGTTTTGGTTAGGTTTTGGTTATGGTTATGGTTAGGAGGAGACGACACACCCGAGAGAGTTGAGTGTTGTCGGGTGTTGTCGGGTGTTGTCGGGTTACCAAGTCGTCCAACAGTGTCGACCTTGTTCCTATGCGACTAGACTAGACTAGACTAGACAGATAGATAGACCAGACAGACAGACAGACAGACAGACTAGACAGACACAGACAGACAGACAGACAGACAGACAGACAGACAGATCAAAAGAACACCAAAAGGTCACGCAAGCCACACAATTAGTAAACTCTGATACTGCTGTGGTCTTGACAATGGTTGATTTCTCCGTGAAGAACAACCACAAGAAGAGAATATGAATTACTTATCACTGTAGGGCATTGTAGAGTCTTCCCTTTGTTAATTTCATCATCAGGTATCGGGAGAGTTTGATATAACGTCATATTTTACCCGACTGAGAAAGAATGACTTAGATTTCCATATGTAAACAAACACTATATGACTGATTGAGGGAAAAACAAGACCACAATGGAATAATTTATTAGTCATCTTGGTATAGGAGGAAGACCAGCCATAACAGAATTAATGAGCCAGTTAAGTCAGTGAGTCAGTTAAGTCAGTGAGTCAGTTAAGTCAGTGAGTCAGTTAAGTCAGTGAGTCAGTTAAGTCGGTGAGTCAGTTTAGTCAGTGAGTCAGTTAAGTCAGTGAGTCAGTTAAGTCAGTGAGTCAGTTAAGTCAGTGAGTCAGTTAAGTCAGTGAGTCAGTGAGTCAGTTAAGTCAGTGAGTCAGTTAAGTCAGTGAGTCAGTTAAGTCAAGTCAATGATCCAGTTAAGTCAGTGAGTCAGTTAAGTCAGTCAGTAAGTCATGTGAGGAAATGATGTGTAGTGGATTGTAAGCAGACCACCTGTGACTGCATTACGACGCCTTTTGTCTATCTGAAGGTGGTGTACAGAGGTGTATGTGTGTGTGTGTATGTGTGTGTGTATGTGTGTGTGTGTAAATATATACAACAGAGGGAAAGAGACGGTAAATCCTCCACACACACACACACACACACACACACACACACACACACACACACACACACACACACTAACATTAATAACCTCTATTGATTTTATATACGTGGAAACACAACGCCTTAACATGTCTTGAGGCAGTTTTGTGTGCTCTGAGAGACGGCTGAGAGAACTGAGAGACGTCTAAGAGAACTGAGAGAAAGTCTGGAATTGTTCATGTACTGTACCTTTGAATATAAGTAATCTATTGTACTCGATATAACCATAGGAAAGGGAGGTTATGTTATGTTATGTTATGTTATGTTATACGCTGGAAAAAGGTTAAAAATCCCGATAAAGAACAAGAGAACAGGGACACCCATAAACACAAGTGAACAAAACAATAACAAATCCAACCAACCAATGAGAAATACGCCTGATAGAAACACCTTTGGGGATTGGTGGACTGGAACTATGACAAAGCTGTAAACATGGAAATATTCAGCCAATGAGAAATAAGCTCATAAGAGGATGTCCTTGAGGATTGGTTCGCTGCTTGCTTTGGTGAGATATTGGTGCATGATAACATTGAAAGGTACTACCGAGGCGCGCGTGCTTGGTGTGGTGAGTGAGAGGCGTGGGTGTGGTGGTAGAGAGAGGCGTGGGTGTGGTGGTAGAGAGGTGTGTGTGGTGGTAGAGAGAGGCGTGGGGTGTGGTGGTAGAGAGAGGTGGGGTGTGGTGGGTAGAGAGAGGCGTGTGGGCGTGGTGGTAGAGAGAGGTGTGGTGTGGTGGGTAGAGAGAGGTGGGTGTGGGTGGATAGAGAGAGGCGGGGGTGTGGGCGGTAGAGAGAGGCGTGGGTGTGGTGGTAGAGAGAGGCGTGGGTGTGGTGATAGAGAGATAGTGACTTTGTGTTAGGGGTGGGAAACAGTTATTTATGTGGGGTAGGGGAAGGAGGTGTGTGTGTGGGTGTTTAGGGGGTGTGGGGTGTGGGTGTTTGGGGTGTGTGGGTGTGTGGGGTGTTTGTGGGGTGTGTGTGGGTGTCAGGGGTGTGGGTGTGGGTGTTTAGGTGTGTGGGTGGGTGTGTGGTGTGTGTGTGTGTGGGTGGGTGTGTGTGGTGGGTGTGTGTGTGTTGGGGTGTGTGTGTGGGTGGGGTGTGTGTGTGGGGTGTGTGGGGTGTGTGTGTGTGTTTGTGTGTGTGTGTGTGTGTGTGTGTGTGTGTGTGGGTGGGTGTGTGTGTGTGTGTGGGTGGTGTGGGATGTTTGTGTGTGTGTGGGTGGGTGTGTGTGTGTTTAGGTGTGTGGGGTGGGTGTGGGTGTGTGTGTGGGTGGGTGTGGGTGTGTGGGGTGTGTGGGTGTGGGTGGGTGTGTGGGTGTGGGTATAGGGGTGTTTGTGTGTGTGTGGGGTGTGTGTGTGTGTGGGTGGGTGGGTGTGTGGGGTGTGTGTTTAGGTGTGTGGGTGTGTGTGTGTGTGTGGGGTGTGGGTGTGTGTGTTACGAGATCTGAGTGGCGGAGGAAAGGAATCGGATGGTATGGAGAGGTAAATCTTAGTGTGTGGGTGGGCGGTTAGAGGTGTGGGAGGGCAAGGGAGCGGTGTGGGAGGGCAAGGGAGCGGTGTGGGCGGGCAGTAGCGGTGTGGGCGGGCAGGTAGCGGTGTGGGTGGGTGAGCCATGGTGTAGGAGGCTAACGAAGGGCAGAATAGTTGAGCGGGTGGTGTTAGGAGAGCTTCAGGAAGTGGAGGTATGGGCGGGCAACCTGTGACGTGGGAGGGTGGGCGGCATAGTGGGGGCGTGCTGACTGGCGGGTGGTGAGTGGGGTTGAGCATATGGATGGGCGTGTGGGCGGCTGTAAAGGAGGTCGTTAGTGGGCGGCGCACGACACAACATAGTGATGGGCCTCTTAACCTCTGGTGCTGGTATACTGTGTGTGTGTGTGTGTGTGTGTGTGTGTGTGTCTGTGTATTTACTCTTCTGTATACTAAACTTAAAGAAGTAGGTAGAGTGCGTGTGTTTGTGTGAACCTTGTCCCACACTCTACCTCACACTCACCTGCACTCTACCTCACACCCACCCACACTCTACCTCACACCCACCACCCACACTCTACCTCACACCCACCACCCACACTCTACCTCACACCCACCCACACTCTACCTCCCACCCACCACCCCCTACCTCACCCCCACCTCACCCCACCCCCACACTCTACCCACCCCCACCACACCCCCTCCTCCACCCACCACCCACCTCACCACACCCACCACCTCCACACCCACACTCTCCCCACACTCTTACCACCCACCCACCTCACCTCCCCTATCTACCTCCACCCACCCTCACTCCCACACCACCCCACCTCTACCTCACACCCCACCCACACTCTACCCACACCCCCCACACCCTCACCCCACCACCCACCTCCCACACCCACACCCACACTCCCACACACTGCCACCCTTCACACCCACCACCCACACACCTCACTCCACCACTCACCCCTCACCCACCACACCCACTCACCACACACTCTACCCACACCTCACACCCACCACCCACTCACACTCCACCACACACCCACCCACACCCACCACACTCACCCCCACCTCACCCCACCCACACCACACCTCACACACACCCCCACCACCACCCACCACCCACCCACCTCACACCCACCCACACCCCACCCCACACCCACCACCCATCTACCCCACACCCACCACCCTAGGCTCACACTGCCCTCACCCACCCACCTCACACCCACCACACCCCACCTACCTCACACCCACCACCCACACTCTACCCTCACATCCACCACCCCACTCTACCTCACACCCCCACCCCACTCTCTACCTCACACCCACACCCACCACACACCTCACCACCCACACCCACCACCACACCTCTACCTCACACCCACCACCCACACTCTACCTCACACCCACCACCCACACTCTACCTCACACCACCACCCACACTCTACCCACACATCCACCACCCACACTCTACCCTCACACCCACCACCCACACTCTACCTCACACCCACCACCCACACTCTACCTCACACCCACCACCCACACTCTACCTCACACCCACCCACACTCTACCTCACACTCGGACAACTCAAAATGCTAAATTTACTGGAAATGGAAATAGGGTGGAAATGGGCAGCAGCCGCACAATTTACAGGGATCTGGTATATTCATTGAGGCGAGGGGGGTGAGGGGAAGGGGAGGAGGGGGTGAGGGGGAGGGATGCTGGTGAAGCCCTGTGGTACTCCTCCTACCATGGCCCTCCCTCCTCTATGCCCCGTGGTGGCAGAGGGCCTTAGAGGGCGAGAATGTTTACAAATCATCTTCGAAAAGATTTTATTTGGCTGTGAGAGCCTCTGAGGTATCGAATTCCGATACAAGGAGCCATGATAAGAGTAAGTAATGGTGGTTAATGATGGCGAGGGAGAGTGGCAGGGCCAGGTTGTCGCCGGCACTGGCTGCTGGTCGGGTGCCGTCAATAGTGCCGCTCTTGCTCACAACCCTCCACCGCCTGCTGTCTCGCCGCCGAGCCACTCCGGCCAATCATCGCCGCCCAGCCAGTGACGTCATCACCATCACAGCCAACCACCGCGCAGGCTTCGTTCCTGCTATTCCAAAAGGTTGCCGCTGGAATCCCGGTTGCCAGCCATTGCACGACCACGTAATTCAAAGTCGCCGAGAAAGATGTCATCACAAACAAATTCAGAGCATATGGTGTTCAGGGAGGCCATGGGCGCTGCCGTATAGTTGAGGGTAAGAAAAGAGGTGAGGGTGGCGAGGTAAAGAAGGTGAGAGGTAAAGCCAAGTGTCGGGAGGTTGCGGGCAGCGGGTGCCACGAGAGCTGTTAAGGGGAGGTGCCAGTGTGGTGGTGCGTGCCGGCCTCGTCTTCTGCGGTGCTGGTGCCTTGTGCCTGGTGCCCGCCCTGGCCGCCTCTCCCGCCTTCACCTGCTCCTCCGCCAGGCGTGCACGACGCCTCTACCCTAGTGATCGCGCCCCTCAGTCCCCAGCCTGCCCTCCGTGCCTCCGCCAGGCGACGCTCAGACCGCCTCCTCCTCCTTGCCAGTGTCACTAAGTGCTCCTAGGAGGTGACCTGCCTGCCTACCTGTCTGCGACACCATCACCTGCTGCCTCAACGCCCGCGCCCCGTAGCGCCCGCCCACAGGTACGTCCGCTCACCTTGTCTTCCTGGGAACGCTCTCTTGGGCTCCCCGCGCTCTTTCACACCATCGCCGGAATTTTTTTTATTTATATCGCTTTCCAACTCTGGAAAAACCACCTTCTCATTTACGACTCCACAAAAACTCCCCAAAACACAAGGACAACAATGATCTTTTACACCCTCCAAATAACCGCCATAGACGACTAGACTATCCAGTTATACTACGTGGTTGACCTGGAGGTGTGTGTCCCTGGGCAGGTCGGTGCAGGTGCCAGTGCCCACCACACGAGGAGGGTAAAGGTCGCACCTTCAGTTCTGTTCATATTTGCATACCGGCGACAATCAATACATGGTGTAGTTGGTTGTGTTGAGTGGTCATGCGCGCTGAGCCCGACCTGCTGACCGCCAGCCCTCAACCCCCCCCTCCACGGTAAAGGTGTCCTCTTGGTTCGTGGTCATATTTCTCACTCTTGATCTTTCTTAAAACAGAAACTTATTCCACTTCCCATACACAAGACTTACTGGGTCCAGCAACTTAACATTTCCACACAATACATTTTATTTAAAAGTCTAGTAATAGAAAGTAACCAAGGCGCCACGGGGGTTGTTTTGTTTATATGTCCCAGTAATACTTTCGGGGCCATAACTCACAAGGTGTTACATGTGTCACTACCTCTTCGGCCCACCCTGAGACACACCATCACTCACCTGCTGTATGTATGATCCAGCAGGAACAGAACACAGCAATGCTCACTGGTTCGTTCCTTCTAAAATCAGACAGCGGTGGTGTATCCTCGCTCCTCAGGGCCCCGTAGTGACGCAGACGGCGACCTACTTACCACAACTTGAAGGGAAAACATATTATAGGTCAATCTATTTCCCGGAACAATTAAGTCTTTGTCATAGTAAAAGAACAATCAAGGTCGAGAATAAGGCCTTTTACCTACCCAGCCCTCACAGTCAACCCTTAACACCTTACTGATCCCGTCCCTCACCTCCACCAGCCCTCACTTACCTCTAGTCCTTAGCTTCTTCCATTCCTTTTCAGCCCCCAGGCCCTACATTTCCCCACCAGCCCTCAGGCCCTTCAGTCTTCACCTCACCACCAACAGCCTCACCCCCCACCAACCCTCCTTACCACCAGCCTCACCCCACACACCAACAGCCCTCACCCCATGCCAACAGCCTCCTTACCTGTAGCCCTCCTCCGCCAGCACCTTCTATCTCTGCTTACTAGTGCTTACCAGCCTCAGTCTAACCTCCTCATCAGGCCTTCGTGGTTCACTATAGCCCCAAGAACATATCAGCCCCACTCACACCTACCATAATATTCCCCCCCTCTTGTCAGCCCTATAAAACCCCTCTCACCCCTTCCCTACTTCTGTAGCCCCACCTTTCACTCCCACCAAACTACCAACGATTTTTTAGGGGAGAGATGATGAAGCCAGAAGGAAGGGAGAGGAGCAATGAGATAGGTCAGAGATGGGTGGTGAGCAAGGTGGGATGATGAATTGGGCTAGAGGTAAGGTAATTGGGTCACAGAGAAGGGGTGGGGAGAGTCATCTATTCGTCACTGATTGCAAATTTGGTCAAGACTCTTGTGATCGACTTCCAACCCATTGCTTTAATCCCGACCAGACTCTGGTCCAACGACAGAAGGCTGAAAGTATTTATTATTCACAATCCTAAAGGTTTCTCATCATCATCATCATCATCATTATCATCATCATCATCATATTGTACCAATACTCTTTTTTCTGCTGTTATTTACAATGACCAATGGGGGAGCGATACCTGTGATTTGATGGACTAATCAGAGTCGAGGCTTGATGTTACGTGAGCCAATAACAGGGTTCGTGTGATGACTTTTCGTGGGTGCGGACCGAAGTCAACCACGACAACCACAATGACCAAATTAACTACAACAAATATACGAAGTTTACTATAATAACCACGATATCCACGACAAACCAACCACTACAACCACAAAATACCAACCTCGACAACCAAGCCAACCACGACAACCAAACAAAGCCAACCACGACAACCAAACAAAGCCAACCACGACAACCACACCGTGCCAACCTCGACAACCAGCTATCCACGACAACCAAGACATATACGACAACCAAACAAAGCCAACCACGACAACCACGACAACCGAACAGCGGCACAAGAAACAGTGATATACCCCAAGAAAGTCGAGTACGGCAACCATGTCAACCACAACAACCACACAATTGCACCGCCAGATATCACACACTCAACCACTCCAACCTGATAACAAAAACAACCACGCACCACCACAACAACCACCAAACAAGATTCACCACTACAAGTCACGCTAAGTCAACCACGTTCAGGTCAGGTCAGGTCAGGTCAGGTCAGGTCAGTCCAAGGTAACAGAAATGACCCCGATGGTTGCTAAGAGACTCTATTATGTCTTATGGTAGTTAGGACGGTCGTTCATCGTTATATGGTTGTTGACATGGTTGATCTTCGTCTTGTAGTCATGGTTATGGTTGTTCTATGTTTAATGGTCGTCAAGATGGCCGTTGAAGTTGTTGCAGTCGTTAGGATGGTTGTTCAAGTTGTTCCAGTCGTTAGGATGGTTGTTGACGTTGTTCCAGTCGTTAGGATGGTTCTTCTACGTGTTACAGTCGTTAGGATGGTTCTTCTACGTGTTACAGTCGATAGGATGGTTGTTCAAGTTGTTACAGTCGTTAGGATGGTTGTTCAAGTTGTTCCAGTCGTTAGGATGGTTGTTGACGTTGTTCCAGTCGTTAGGATGGTTGTTCTACGTGTTACAGTCGTTAGGATGGTTGTTCAAGTTGTTACAGTCGTTAGGATGGTTGTTGACGTTGTTCCAGTCGTTAGGATGGTTCTTCTACGTGTTCCAGTCGTTAGGATGGTTGTTCAAGTTGTTCCAGTCGTTAGGATGGTTGTTGACGTTGTTCCAGTCGTTAGGATGGTTCTTCTACATGTTACAGTCGTTAGGATGGTTGTTCAAGTTGTTACAGTCGTGAGGATGGTTGTTCAAGTTGTTCCAGTCGTTAGGATGGTTGTTGACGTTGTTACGGTCGTTAGGATGGTTGTTGACGTTGTTCCAGTCGTTAGGATGGTTCTTCTACGTGTTCCAGTCGTTAGGATGGTTGTTCAAGTTGTTACAGTCGTTAGGATGGTTGTTGACGTTGTTCCAGTCGTTAGGATGGTTCTTCTGCGTGTTACAGTCGTTAGGATGGTTGTTCAAGTTGTTACAGTCGTTAGGATGGTTGTTCAAGTTGTTACAGTCGTTAGGATAATTGTTACACATCTATCGGTCGTTAAGATAGTTGTTCCACGTCTTAGGGTCGTTAGGGAGGCTTTATCACACCTGGTGGTAGTTAGGACAGCTTGTTACGAACGTCATACAGTCGTTAGGATATATTTTCACCCTTAAATAAATCCTAAACATTATCCTTAATTATCCTTCAGAGGAAAACATTACGTGCGAATAAACATAAAAGAAATGCGGGTAAAAATTATGCGATGTTTATTTTTATTTCGTCTGTTAGAATGTTGGTTGGTAATGTTTATTGTTGATGTTTACCGTTGATGTTTACCGTTGATGTTTACCGTTGATGTTTACCGTTGATGTTTACCGTTGATGTTTACCGTTGATGTTTACTTTTGATGTTTACTGTTGATGTGTGTTAGCTATTATTACTAACGAGAGAGAGAGAGAGAGAGAGAGAGAGAGAGTGTATATGAAAAGGAGAAATGAAGTGCGGACGAAACAGCGGAATGGAGGTGGAGGAGAGAGACACGACTTAAAGGAGATAGAGAGATAGAGAAAGAAAGGTAAAAAGTGAGAGTTTGAGAGCTTCACTTTCATCACATACATACACACACTCTCTCTCATACACTTTCTGTTCCTTTCATTTTTTTGTTAGATATAAATAAATCACTTTCTCTCATTCCTACCTCTACCTCTCACTCTCTCTACCTCTCACTCTCTCTCCCTCTCACTCTCTCTCCCTCTCACTCTCTCTACCTCTCACTCTCTCTCCCTCTCACTCTCTCTCCCTCTCACTCTCTCTACCTCTCACTCTCTCTCCCTCTCACTCTCTCTACCTCTCACTCTCTCCACCTCCCACTCTCTCTACCTCTCACTCTCTCTACCACTCACTCTCTCTACCTCTCACTCTCTCTACCTCTCACTCTCTCTACCTCTCACTCTCTCTACCTCTCACTCTCTCTACCTCTCACTCACTCTAGCCTGAGGTGAGAGTGGAAGCCTCTCTCTCTCTCTCTCTCTCTCTCTCTCTCTCTCTCTCCTTTATGAGTGAAGGGAGAGGGAGAGTAAAGAGTGAAGCAAGAGGTGAAGTAAGAGTGCAAGAACATGAAGAGGAAGAGTTGAAACAAGAGGTGAAGTAAGAGGGGGAAAGAGTATAAAGAATGGAAGTAAATGTGAAGGAAGAGTGAAGTAAGAATGAAAAGAGAAGTGAAGCAAGAGTGAAGCATAAGTGAAGTAAGGGTGAAGCAAGAGTGAAGTAAGAGGTAACACTGACCACCTGAAACTTGACCTTAACCTGTGACCCTTTAGTGATTCCTTCCCCACAAACAAAAAGTAAATAAATAAATGGAAAAAATAAAGCGGTGGGTTTATGGGATTTTCCTCTGGTACAAGTGACCTAAAAATTCGAAATCGATCGGTGTATTTGTTCGACCATCAGGAGAGGAGGAGGAGAGGAGGTAGGAAGAGGAGAGGAAGAGGAGGAGGAGAGGAGGACGTAGCAAGAGGAGAGGAAGAGGAGGAAGAGGATAGGGGGTAGGAGGAGGAGGAGAGGAGGAAGAGGAGGACAGGAGGAAGAGAAGGGAAAGAGGAGGAGAGGAACAAGAGGAGGAAGAGAGAAGAGGAGGAAGAGAAGGAGGAGAGGAAGAGGAGGAGGAGTAGGAAAGGACAGGAGAGGAAGAGGAAGAACGTGAAGAGTCAGAGGAAGAAGAGAAGAGGAGGAGGAGGA